AATCAGCTCCGTTCGTTTGTTACCAAGAAAGCATTTATGAAGAATCAAGCTTTTATAATCATCTTTGTTAATTAGCAAGGGGTTGTTGGCAAGAAACGAAGCGAAGTACCGATCTTTTGTAGAATCTGACGTACTTAAATGGCTCTTGAACGTCTAATACGAGTGAATGGGACGATGTACTAACGTTGTGTTACCGGTAGTAGAATTATACTTATACGTTCCATCTCCCCAGGTTTGCACATAAAATCACGTAACAACCTTACTTCTAGGCATCATAACAACCTTTTAAAAAAGCAACGGCTTGATGGCATCGTTATAGCATTTTTACTGCGCGGCGGTAAATTTGTAGTATCTTATTGGGTACATTATAACATAAGTCAGCATGGAATCAGTCTTAATGCCAACGTAATTGCAAAACAATGCGAGCTCGATTCTCTCACCGTTAAATTGTGTTGACGATGAAGAATCTGAAGGTTATAAATGTTCTAAATCGTGAAAGCATCTATAGTCGACATTTTATGTATTCAATAAAATATGTAATTTGTAAAAAATGAAATCATTGCAGAATTTTTTACGCATACTTAGCAGCTGTCAGCTGTTTCGTTTCTCTGATTAACTTGATGTTCGAAGCTTGAAATTGTCCGTCTTTTGCCTTTGGCAAGAATGCATCATATGACGACTAAATATGCCTCTAACAACTGCGTGTTTTAGTCTCCAGACTGTTTTGCGAAAGCGAGTCGTTCAAAATGGACCTAATTTTGGACGTCAATGTTCAGCTGTATCCAGTGAAGTTGGGTAAGATATTTAGTATATGTGCTTCCAGCGACTAACCAGGTTTCTTTTACAGTCTTACAAAATGTCCATCTGCTTTTTGACATCTAATTACGCATAAAGTTTGAATACTTTAAAATACTGCTCGGTGTAACGAATAACGAGTTATAATACGATAATGTTGTCGTCTAAAATATAGTATTATATATTGAAACCTGGTTAATTGGAAATGTATGAAAAATTGTATTGTTTAAGATTAGCTTAACGATGGACTAGAAAATGGAGGTAAAACGTTTCTTGAGGTTGACCAATTTAAGTGTTTTGGCTCCATAATTTCCGGTGGTGGCATCATCCAGCCAGACTTAAATGGGAACATCACCGTAGCCTCGAATGCTTCTGGAAGCCTGCCGAATATTTGGACTGAGAAAGGAGTTACTCTTCCCCACGTAGATCCTCCGTATCTTCTAAATTCTGTCAAGTCAGCGTTGTTGTACGGACAACTGCTATGGGGAATGGACAAGAATTGCGGCTGAACTGACAGGGCTACTTAAGGAATGACTCTCTTCTCCGCTTGACACAGGTGAACTCGGCAGATGTTTAGATTAAGAAGCGGAAGTTGGCACCGTTCAACAAACTGGTCAAGCAAGCTGCATTTACTCTAGCCCGTTAGGGTCTTTTGTGGCAGCCAAAACAACTTACACGTGAACTAGGAGGCCAGCATGTAACACGAATGAACACTGTTGCAGCAGGTCTCTTTCCAGTGAGTAGTTGTTCCATACATGATGAATTAACCGGCGGATAGAAACAGCAATTCAAACCAGACACGTTGTGCTTATCATTGTCACTCAAAACGATGATCTGAACGAACAGATATAACATGAAATAGAAACTATAGGCATGCATTACCTTAAAATGTGTTGTTCAGTACGTTTTCACTGTTGAACGAAAGACTTTTTCTTTAACAGAGTAAAGAGTAAAAGTGTTCACGTTATCAGTTATCATCAATGTACTTAGAAAACATAAAAGTCACTAAGATAATCATAGTTTAAAAAAGTGCAAAAATATCATTTAGAATGATGGTAGTTTTGCTGTTTCAGCTCCTGAAAAATTTGATTTGCATGACGTTTTCAGTTTTTTTTGTATATAGCCATCGTAACTTCTTGGGCCCCTGAATGTACCACGGAAGAATGCGTAGAGCTGTAAATTTTGACAAAGAATAATTATGTGAATCATTCATGTTTTACTCAATGAACACTTTGTAATCGCAGTAGTGGGTAGACACACCTCAATTTTTCGACTCGACGACTGACACTCTGTCCGCTGAACCACGTCATCTTGGCCTTTAAGGCGTTCAAGAAGCATTAGTGGCAAATCGAAACCTTCTCTATTCAACTCCTTTACGCACGGTAAACCGAGTATGGATGGCATTTAATAGTGAAATACTACGGAATGCACCTTAATGAGCAGTTTATGCTTGCGTAAATCAGTAACACAAACAGAAATCCATAGAGAAATGTACCAGGAAGACATGGGCTTCCTTACAATGGCTGTGGATGAAATGCATCGTACCCAGTGGCAGCCATGGAGCACCCACCTGGCAGCAGTTCACGTGTCCGTGGTTTCGAAAGCTCGTTTGGACTCATGGAAAGGCTGTGTCGTGTTGTTAAATATAGTTAATATGCATTTACTGGTTCTCAGCATAATCAGAAAACCGATGTTAAAAATTTTATTTTAATGCAGTTTCTTTGGTAGTGGAATTCTAGATATCCTTAGGGTAGTCAGTGGAATTTATAATTTAATAATTTTATGAACATTATCTTTAACTATTAGTTTATTTAGAATTACTCAAAACCATAAGTGCTGACATCACTCCAGCGCGGAACTACTTTTTTTGGAATAAATTAAAAGATAATTCGAAGTTAAGTTTTGAATGAACCAGTTATCGCATCGAAGTTTCTGACCATCCAGGTAGTGAGAACAATGATACTCATTTTTATAACTGGCATGCGTCTAGCATTATTCGGTTTTCCCATCATTTTGGCAGATGAATCATAATCTTGCACGGAGGATACAGATACGTTTTCAGGGATTAATTAGTAGGAACGATGCTTCACGTCTAGAGTTTTTTCTTCTAAATCTGTTGTTAGAACGTCTTACTTATAGCAGATCTGATCGAAAAGCATAGTGATCTCTTACACTTTCGAATATTTCTACCTCCTTCGTTGTACGGTTGCAAGGTTCATGAAAAGTTGGTTTTTGAGGCACTTCAGTGTCTTCATCTTGATATATTTACCTTTACCTTAGTCGATGCTGCCTTCCCTTTATGACCTCACCAAGATCAAATTTTTAAGGCTATATTCATACAGATGTTGATTCCAAGTATGCCGTTTCGCAATGTGAGTTATCGTCTTTGAAGTTTTTGTGATATGCGACTCCGTACGGAGTTGACTCGTTATAATGCTCTTTGTTCTCAGCTTAATTTTTCCCGTTTGCATGCCTTTTGCTGGCATTATAATTTAAGAACATCTCACCGGATCATCATTAAATGTGATTTGACATTTGACCTCATTATTACAAAATTCCTGATCTGACACCCAATGATCGTTTTGTTCGCTCGGTTGTGGAGTATCACTTGAGTGGTGCCCGTCAAGATTGTCAATCGATTGTGTGATATGTATTAAACAGGAATTATGCGATGTATATGTCAAAAGTAAATCTTATGGAATTGTTGGCAAACTGCTTCCATGTTATACTGCAGGAGAATGTTTCATAATATGTCATGTAATGTACAAACTTTAATTTAAAGTTAGTTTTTGGATCTTCCTCATTTGCCTTGATAGATGCTCCTTCTTACAAAATGAGTTATTCAGGTTTTGTTTTTCTTATTATTCTAAGAGATTTAAAGGACTCTCGCCCACAACTGGTTAAGCAGAATCAGCTTGGTAGTTATTCATAAAAATGAAGTATAACTGCGTTAATTGTTTTAACTGTTCTGCAAGATAGTTTTAATAGTCACTTCATTGTGAAAATGTAACTGTTACAGAAATAACGAATTCCGGCAATTATTTGAATCCTTTGCGTAATCATCCACCATAGCATTCTGCAATATTTACATATTGGGGTATTTCAGTAATGTTATTATGTGTTTCTGATCTTTTATAAACAATTCGGGAGTCTAACGGTATGGGTTGGCCAGAAAACAGCAAATTCCTTAAACAGGGCTGTAACTTTTCTGCATAAACAATTCTTGAGAACAAATGAAGCTCCTATGACATGGCTTTGAAAAATATAGGAGAGATCAAAATTCCAAAAATGCTTGACGATATACAACATATATATCCCGTTTATTGTATGCGTGTTATTCAACATTTCGGTTCGTACTCGATCCATATTTTGGGGGAGACATTATGTAAAACATCATTTTCTAACAGCCAGACAATAAATTTCGTTATTCTGTTGACTTCATATGACAGTGGCAAAAAACAACAACATAACATGAAGCAGATTGTTACAGTATAAATCTTGACATCCGCGTTGCAACTTCAATACTGATATTTTATCCTCACTAGTGTAAGTTGCTTCATAATCTGATT